TAATAGAGACAAACATATGAACAATCTGTAAAAAGGGCTATAAGTGCTCTGACAGAAGTGAGTATAGGGTACATTCACCCTTCATTTAGTTATTAGACTAACATGTCATGAAATAAGCTTGTCATCAGACTACTCTTCCAGCCCTTTCCACCATGACTTCCAAGCTGTTCAAAACCAGCTTAATTTTTATTAATCTAACATAATAGGAAGCCAGAGAGTTTTCATTTTTATGTTATCCTGACTCTGGTTCCTCTATGGGATTGTATTCCCTTAGTGTTTATGTTCTCAACATGGACCAGACTAGTTTATACCCAAGTTCAGAGAGGTGAACTTCCTTGGCCACGTGCGCCTTGGTTGTAGCACGATAAACTTAATGCCCATCTGGTCCTCTAGTTTCACAGGCTCTGAAACTAGAATCACCCAATAAATACTTACAAAAGCCTTTGGTGACCCAGGCACATCATAAAAACTAATGTTGTTACCTACCATCTTTAAGGATCTGACAGTCTGATTGAGGATAGAGACCATTAAACAAGAGATTGCAAAACAGTGTGATAAGTGCCATGATGCAGAAAGTACAGGGGTGCCAGGGAGCTCACAGCAGGAGTAACCCATATATCAGGGGGGAGGTGCACTTTAGGCACAACCTCCAGAGAAAGTAGGACCTCAGCTAGGATATGGGGATGATCAGGACTTAGCAGAAGGCATGGGAGACCCAAGGGTGCTGCAGTGAGTGCAGGTTCCCATGTTCACCAGTAACTCTTCTCCATGTAACGTAACAGGCTTTGAATACTTACTAATACAAAATACAGTTAGTATAAGTAAATAAGAATGTTATCGTAAATATTCAAGGCCCCAAGAAAGAATTAGAAATGGAAATTCAAAGTGTAGAAATAGTTGAGAATCCCCAAAAGTGACTGTCAATAGCCTATGCCATTTTCAGAGCATGTGGTGACTTTTTGCCTACCTGTCCTCGGTAAGCAGCCACCAACCAAATCTCTGTGGCTCTCTGTCCAGTGGGCGTCTGTGGTGGCTCAGTGAAGAATCTGCCTGCAGTGCAGGAGACCCAGGTTCCATCCCTGGGTCAGGAACATTCCCTGGAATAGGAAATGGCAACCCACTCCAGGACTCTTGCCTGGAGAATCCCATTGGATAGAGGGGCCTGGCAGGCTACAGTCCATGCGGTCACAAAGAGTTGGACAGGACTGAATGACTAACACTTTCACGTTCTCTGTCCGGTGTTGGTCTCTGCAGGACTCACTGTGAAGTCTCAGGTTTGTTTTGTCACCACAAAGTAAGCCACAGCTCTTTTCTTGGTTGGTAAACTCAGAGTTAACTTGATACAGAATGTTGACTCAAGCCAATCAAACTTACCCCACCCCGCCACAGACAGAAACCATTGCTCTAACCTCTGGGTGAGTGAAAGGTGTATCATATACATACTTCTAGCAGAGTACTCATAGTCCTTTTTTCAGTTTGTTTATGGGTTTGTTGCCTATTAAATTAACCCCTGAGGAGTGGGAGCCTTATCTTGGTCATCTGTGAATCCTCAGCAATTTTTACAGGGCATGGAGCAGGGTGGGCATTTAGTAAAATGGTTATGAACTGAATCAGTGAGGAGATTCTCTTTCAGTATCAGAAAACTACCTGCCACATAACAGTTTAGATTTTAGTCCACTTAGCGCATCTGAGCTGCTCAGGCTACTACAGCAAAATACCATAGACTGAGTGGCTTAAACAACCAATATTTATCTTCTCACAGTTCTGAGGCTGGACGTCAAAGCTGAGAGTTGCCAGCAGTGATCAGGCTCTGATGAGAGCTCTCTTCCTGGCGGGCTAATAGCCTCCTCCTCGTCGGGTTCTCACCAGATGCTGGGAGGAGGGGGGTCATGAGGGGATGGGAATGGAGGAGAATATGCAGGGCCCCTGTTGTCTCCTCTAGTAAGTCACTAATCCCACCATAAAGGCCCTAGCCTCATGACCTCATCTAGTATAATTACCTCTCAGATTCCCCATGTCCAAACACCATCACACTGAGGGGGTTATGGCTTCAGCTTATGAATTTAGTTGGGGGACAGAATTCAGTACACATCAAGGGCTTCATACTTCCAAGGACAGCACCAAGCAAACATTGTAAACTCGTGCCCTTCAACGCCCTTTTTTTTCCTAAGGTGGGTGCCATCAGTCTCTCCTCTGAGAAGTGCTTGTTACTCTTTAGGCAGCCTGATTAGGTTTCTGCTTTTTAAGTTATTTTCACCTTTCCTTGTTTTCCTTTCTGGTATTAACTCCATGGAACATGGACTGGACTTGAGTGTTCTTAATGTCCTCAATCATATGTTTGCAAATGATCTTGCCCATTACATTCTTTAAAAATAATATTGATTACTTTTGTCTGATTAAAAAATAATACATTTTCATTGCAGAAAATCTAGAACCCAGAAAAGCACAAGAAAGAAAAATGAAACTACTGTTAATGCTAACACCCATTTTATTTTGATTATTTTAAATTTTACTTTTGCAGTCTGGGGGATGTCTTATTTTCAGAATGATACCTCATCCACTGAATTAGTTGGGCGAAAGGCAATATAAATATATTTGACTTCTGTGAAGATATATAAATTGAAGATTTTTTGTTGTATATAATGAATGCTAAGCCTTCCAAAAATTACTTATTCACCCTGTAATATTCAAATATTAATTTTTCAATGAATAAAACAGACAAATCCGTGCCTTTAGGGAGTTTATGTTATAAAATCCATTCATTCATTCACTCAAAATATACTGGTAACTTGCCTACTGTGTGTCAGTTTTGGGAATACAGTGATGAAGAATATATTCAAGATGGAACTTGAATTCTAATGGGAGACTGACTCTAATACTTGCCTTGAGAAAGCTTTCAAGGAAGCAAGATGTGTACAAATAGCTGTAATCCAAATGAATGATTCAAAACTGTTCTCAGTGAGGAAAACTTCTTAAAGGTGATATGTGAACTGGATCTAGAAGAGTGGACATGATTTGGATTGATGAGTTGATATTAGGGAGTAAGGCAAAGAAAGGAACAGCTAGGTAGAGGGCTGGTATATTATCAAAGTGCAAAAACAGTAAAGCCCGGGGTTCAGTAAATGACTGACTCTTAAGGTTGATAAAGAGAAGTAGTGAACAGAAGACTGGAAAAGAAAGTTGGTGCTTAAATCATACCAAACTGGTCATTGGCCAAATTTCTGTTTTTATTGAAGTGCTTTCAGAAGTACAGAGCTATTTATATAGACGATATTTTTGAAAGTACTTTCACATCAAACTTAGGGAATACTGCTCTCATGATTAAGGTTCTCTGTGTTCCTCAAAAGTTTTTTTTTTGTTTTGCTTTTAATGGAATTGTTGTAAATATTACCAATTCAATTATTTTTAACTTATCCTTGATTTTTTTTTTCTTACCAGAAAGGCTTCAAATGTTTCTTTGGGTGTTTTTAAGTGATTATTATTAAATTTTTATTATATTGTCTTTAAGTAAATTTTTGAAACCTGTCAGAACATTATATTTCTATATGAATAAGTTATGTAGTTTTGTGTAACAGATGGGAACTGCTTCCTGCCATTTGGGGAGCAAGTGATATCACATGTTTTAGTTGACTAAAATTAAATACGGTCTGAATCCTCTGAACCTGGTGAGAATTCCAAAACTATTTGTTGATATGCCTCCCATTTTCCTTCAGTAAACCCTAAAGCACTTCAGCAGTCCATGACACCTGAGGCTTAGCGCAGTCTCTCGGAGGCAAGCAGGCTCCTCTCAAAGGTCCTTCTTCCCAGCTTTACCTTTTGTTCTTCATCCCAGTAACTTTGGGAATCTTCTTGCTTTTTCTTTCCTACCATGAGAACAAAGCATTTCCTTAACCCTATAATCACAAAAGACCTTGTCGACCCTTATAAAACAAGGAAGAAAATGACTTTCAGTCCGATTTTCTGACTTTCAGAAAACAGAAAATGAGCTACCTATACCATGCTGAAGATAGGAAGGAGTTACAATAAAAGAATTTCTTAGTCATCCAAAAAAGAGTTGTGATTTGAATAAAATCTTAAATGATAAATAAGGGGTAAAGGAACACCCCCCATAGACTGAATGACTTAAGAAAAAACATGGAGGCAAAAAGGAATTTGTGTGTGTGTGTGTGTGCGCAGGAGAAAAAGTCGTTTGGAGTATCAAGGAAGGGAAAAAATAGGAAAGGTGAGTTTGTCTTTCTAAGAAGTTTGGACTTTCTGTAATTTGTCTTTGTCTATGTTGTGGGAAGCTTGGGGACTCCAGAGAGGGAACTTTAAGACCACCTTTGGCACTGAGAACCCAAACTTTCTGGGCCCATCTTCAAGAGCAGTTCTGCTTCTATTTGTTTCATATGATGGTTTCCACATAAGATTTCATGGGGGGGGGGGGGGGTGCCGGGGCGGTGAGACAAGCAAAGGTTTTACACTGATAATAGGATATTGAATGTTTACTTTGTATTAAGCTCTGTTCCAGACACTTGCCACGCATCAATTTATTCTCACACCACCACCATATCCTTTACAGAGAAGAAAAACCCAAAGCTCAGAGAGATTATATATTTGCCTGTGGTTCCAAAGCTACAGAGTGGCAGTGCTGAGCTTTGAGCGCAGTCCTAACCCCAGAAACTGCTCCTTTTCAGGCTGTACTAAAATTGACGTAAAGGGAAACACCGTCTAAAGTTTTGACAAGTTACTTCCGGCACATGCATCCCCTGGCGGTCCTTTTTGGCTAAGCGGCCCTCTGAGGTCAACTGCATCTCCGGACTTCTACAACACAATAAGTCAATACTCTAAAGAGACGTGGAAAGGGTAGAATAAACTGAAAACACCCCAGGCGGTTCCAGAGGGAAACCTCCAGCTCCGAAGGATGGGGCGACCATGACGCCAATTAAACGCGTCAGCTCGGCGCGCAGTCGGCAGCCCCGCCCCTCGCCATTAGCCCCGCCCACACGCGTTCGGCTGCTTTTGCCTCAGGGCTGCGCGTGGGCCCGGCGGCGGTTGCTGTGCTCCACGCGTCGCTCCCTGGGCAGCGGAAGCTGCTGTAGCGATTGTAGGTACAACCCTTTTGTCTTTACTCTCCCTTTCGGCACTAGTCCCTCGTTTCTCGCGGTCTTTCCCCTCCCGTGGCGCCCAGGAACGCCTTCCCGTCCCCTTCGCTCTAAGGAGCGTACGTCTGCTCCTTTGCCGGGCTCTGGGGAAACAGCCATAGATGTCTATTTCTTCTCTCGTCTCTCTGACTTGTTTCTTTGCTCCCTCACTCCACGTGTCTCTTCTTTATTCTCTCCGTTCCTCTTCCATTTCTTTCTCTCATTTTACAGAGTACTCGCAAATAAGAAAGAAGAGGTTTGTCAGTCAAGAGTGACAGAAAAAATCATTTTATTAAGCGCAGATTCTCGTACAGGTGGTGAATATCTGCAAATGAACGTTCGCAAGCTCCTGTGATTGGAGGTGTGCTCCAGGATTGGTTCCTGACACTGGAAGGCTCACCTCCCTCCTCCCGTGCCCCTCACCCCTCCTGTTTCTGTCGGCTTTGATCGCCGTGGACAAGCCCTTCAGATCAGTGCTTCTGAAGGATTGAGGGCTGTTGTTGCACAGGTACCATGTGTCAGGCGTATCGTGTAGGAGTCCTTGTGAGAGGCCTGCGCCTGGTCCCCGACGCCTCTCTCTGTGTGTCCTGTAGTCTATAAAAGATCAGATGGGATGATGGAGAGGAAAGATTGGCTTGGGTCGCACCGAGAGAGGTCAGACCCCACTAAATAATTTTCCATAAGAATAAATAGTATTGTTATTTGTGCAACAGAAGTGTGGGAAATTAACACGTTACTCTCACACGTAAAGAATTCAAGCCCCAGACGTTTTGGTCACTGTGCCTCTGAAATGAATATTCATATTTACTACCTTCTGGGGGTACTAGAATTCATACCGCTGGTTTTGTCAGTTGACTCTCTAGTTTTAACTCCTGCCCAATACCAGAGAAGAGGACAGAGGCAGGTGCAGTAATAGCAATATATAAAGTAACATTTTTATTGCACATCCCATTTTGTACATTATTTTCATACTCATCCAGTTTATACAACCTGTGAGATAAAGTTGGTTAACAAAGCTTCATTTTACTGAAGAGGGAACTAAACACTGAGATTAGGCAGTCCCTGGAACATTGTACTTCCCTGTCCCTGGAACATAGGCTTCGCTGGAGGCTCAGACAGTAAAGAATCTGCGTACAAAGTGGGAGACCAGGGTTCCATCCCTGGATTGGGAAGATCACCTGGAGTAGGGCACCGCAACCCACTTCAGTATTCTTTCTTGAAAAATCCCATGAACAGAGGAGCCTGGCGGGCTACAGTCCATGGGGTCACAAAGAGTCGGACATCATTGAGCAATTAAGCACAGCATACTGGAACATAGTACGATATACAGTAAATACATTCGGTAAATACTTTAAAAGGGATCAATGGGTGAGATTTTCAAGGAGCCACGCCGTATTTACTTTTGTATTCTCTAGACCCAGAGGTAAGTCTAGTAATAGTAAGCCCACAAATATAAGTTAGAGAGGTCGAGTGACTTACTCAGGTCATTTGCTCAAGTCGAGTGACTTGCTGAGATATTTTTAGGGGACTTGCCAGGCATTGTGAATATCATGGTTAAAAAAGACTGGCAAGATTCCTGACTCATGGAGCTTACATTTTAGTGAAGGTAGAAAATAAACAGGTAAACAATATCTGTATAAGGAAACTTGGATAATGGCGAGTGCAGTGAAGAAGTAAAACAGTGTGAAGTGAGAGGATCTAAGGGAGCAGTTACTTTAGATTGATTGGTTAGGGAAGGCCTCTCTGAAGAGTTGACATTTGTGCTGAGACCTCAGTGACATAAAAAAGCCAGCCATGGAAATACTGGGGATCAGAATATTGCAGGTAAAAGAAACTACAATTGCAAAAACCCAAGGTAGGAAAGAACTTGACTCTTTCAAAGAGCATCATTAAGAATGCTGTAGCTGGAAGGTAGGAAAAGTGGAACAAGATGAACTTGGAGGTGAACAAGGAGAGATAGGTAGGGGCCCAAGCATGTAAGGCTTTGAGTTGGTCATGGGGATCTACCCATGGAATAAGCTAAGAATTTATTTATTAAAAGTGTGATGAGAAACCAATGGGGTTTTTTTTTGGTAGGGAGTAATATAATCTGATTTATTGTATAAAGGTCTGTTCCACCTGTTATGTGGTAAATGGGCCCCAGGGGATGGGCAGCAAGAGTAGGAGCACAGGGTGGTAATCCAGGAAGGAATGGCCATGGTTTTGGCTAATGTGGTATAAACATGTTTGGGTGTGAGATATATATGGTGGCAGAACCTACAGACTTGATGATGTTTTAAATATAGGAGTGAGAGAAAGAAGCTTCTGGGTTTTTGTCTTGAGCTTTAGTGGATGGTTTTGCCATTTACCAAAGAATCTGCCTACAGTGCAGGAGACCTGGGTTCAATCCCTGAGTCAGGAAGATCCCCTCCCTGGAGAAGGGAATGCTACTTCTGTATTCTTGCCTGGAAAATGCCATGGAGAGAGGAACCTGGTGGGCTACAGTCCATGGGGTTGCAAATAATCAGACATGACTGAGCAACTAACACTTTTCAATTTACCAAATAGTAAAGACTTGGGAAGAAATTGTGTAGGGGGGAGTATTTTTATTTTGCTCACCTTACATTTGATCTGCTTATTAAAAATATAAAGTAAGTTCTGAGTTTTGAGTTCTGTATATGGGACCAAAGATAGAAAGTTGAGAGACATCAGCATGTATCAATAGATAAAACTGCCTAGGGAAAGTATGTTCATAGCATTCCAGTGATTAGAGGTAAAACAGAGGAGAAGAAGCAAGCAAAGGAGATGAAGGAGTAGGCAGTGAGATAGGAAGAAAACCCAAAGCATGTGGTGACTTGAAAAGCCAAGATGACAAAGCATGGCTAATGGTATTGACACATTCTTAGAGGTAATGTAAAATAAATGACTGCTGAGTTTTAATAAGCACAATAAAGAGTATGTGTGATGTGAAGAAATGGACGTGGATATCTCAAGATATGTCACTATGGAGAAGAACTGAGAAATGGAATATGTGGGGTTGAAGCAGAATTCTTAAACATGGGGATGCTTAAGTATGTTTTTAAGCTAATGGGAGTGATCCAGTGTAGAGGGAGAAAATATTGTACAAGAAAGAAAATATATATCTTAAAAGTGGAGTCTCTGAGAAAGTGAGAAGGAATTGAATCCAGGGAATGTGTAGAAATGTTGACCTAGGAACATGAACATAAAACATAATGGGAAGAAAGGCAGTGAGTATAGGTAGAGATGCAGATACATGGGTGGATTCAGTGATCAGATGAGTTTCTGCTTAAAGTTAATCAGTAGGAGAAGGAACATTTGGATGAAAGTTTTTAAGAGGTGAAGAGAAGATATAAAAATAGTCATTTTGAACACAGAAGGCAGTCATACTTGTCTTAGTTCGTTCAGGCTGCTATAACAACAAAAAATACAGTCTGGTTGTCTTACAAACAGATTTTTTTTCTCATGGTTCTAGATGCTGAGAGCTCCAAGATCAAGGTGCCAGCAGATTTAGTGTCTGGTGAGGGCTCAAGTCTTGGTTCATATGTGTCTGAAAAAGGCAGGGGGGTTCTCTGGGTCTCTCTTATAGATTGCATTCGCTGGGTCTCTTTTTATGATTGCATTCATGTGTGCTCTGCCCTCATGAACTAATCACCTCCCAAAGGCCCACCTCTTAATACCACCATCACATTGGGGGTTAGGATTTCTACATATGGATTTTGAGGAGTTACAAATATTCAGTCTATAGCAATACTAGAGAAGCATAGTAGCATAGCCGGGCAAAATTGAGTGGACATTTGATGTTTGTGGCCTTGTGAGTATGTTGCTGAGATAGGGTGGAAAAAGGATCATAGGAGCCAAGGAGATCAAGAAACTGAAAGATGAGAGTGGTGGGTGGGCGGACTGCCTGGGTGTCGGTAGATAGGTTAGTAGCTGACCTAGTCCTTGAATCCAGATATCCTGCCTTAGCATAATGTGGTACCATTTTACTGAGAAATTATTCAAATTGTTACTGTTTTGTGCCACCTACACTTCCAATTAACATTTTCTCAAAAATTGTGGCCTGGTATTTTTTTGTTCCATATGTCTAAATTCTAGACTTTCAATGACTGATATTTTTAACTCTTGTCCCTTTAATATTTACTTGTTAAATTTTTTGGCTTGTTTATCTGCCTGTGTGTGTATTTTGTTTTTGTTTTAAATCAGATTTATTATCATTTATATATCATACTATTCATAACCTATTTATTTAAAGTATACATTTCAGTGCTTTTGGTGTATTCACAGATATGAATAACTATCGCTGTGGTTTTGGAACATTTTCATCACCTTAAAAAGAAATGCCATGCCTTGTTGCTAAAATCTTTGTGTCCTCCCCATTCCTAACCCTACGCAACTACTAATCTACTTTCTGTCTCTGTAGATTTCCCTGTTATATACTTTCACATAAATGGATAATATGTAATCTTTTGTGATTGGCTTTTTTCATTTAGTATTATGTTTTCAAGGTTTATCATAACATGTATTTTTAATGGCTGGATAATATTCCATTGTGTAGGTATACCGCATTTAGCTTATCCATTCATCTGCTGATGAATATTTGGGTTGATCTGCCTTTTGGCTGTTATTAGTAATGCTGCTATAAATATTTGTTTATAGGTTTCTGTGTGGACATATGTATTCTTGAGAATATACCTAAGAGTAAAATTGCTAGGTCATCTGGTAACTATGTTAAATCATTTCAGGAACTGCCAGATTGTTTTCCAAAGTGGCTGTATCATTTAACATTATCACCAGCAGTAGAGGAGGATCCTATTTCTCCAAATCATTGTCAACACTTGTTATCTGACTTTTATTTTAGAGAGGTATAGCTGATACACGATATTATATAAGCTTCAGGTGTACAACATAGGATTCACAATTTTTAAAAGTTATACTCCATTTTTAACTATTATAATATATTGGCTATATTCCCTGTGCTGTACAATATATCACTGTAGCTCATTTGTTTTATATATAGTAGTTTGTACCTTTTAATCTGAGAAGCATTTCTTGGATCCCATGTATCAAACGTGGAGAAGGAAATGGCAACCCACTCCAGTTGTCTTGCCTGGAGAATCCCATAGACAGAGGAGCCTGGCATGCTATAGCCCATGGGGTCGCAAGAGTCAGACACAACTTAGCAACTAAACCACCACCACCATATATCGTATGTGCTTCCACAATACCCTGGTGCTGCTGCTGCTGCTGCTGCTAAGTCACTTCAGTCGTGTCCGACTCTGTGCGACCCCATAGATAGCAGCCCACCAGGCTCCTCTGCCCACGGAATTCTTCAGGCAAGAATACTGGAGTGGGTTGCCATTTCCTTCTCTGCCACAATACCCTATACTGACCAAATTCTATATAAGGAAGAATACAGTACCAGTTACTTAGTGTACTCTCAATGTTTATTAAGTGAAAAATTGATGGTAATCAAACATGCAGTTATCATACTGGGGTGGATCCTGCCATAAGAATGCAGACCAAAGGGAGCTTCTACAAGAAAAACTTCTTAAACCATGTAGAATTAGCTGGGCCAAAAGCCAGGGTGTGGAGTGAGAAGGCAACATATAAAATTGATAAAGTCTTGAAGATGTAAAGCATGACCACTTTGAAGAACTACAGTTTAGTACAGTTGAAGTTTAGAATGCCAAGTGAAGAATAAGGAGATATACAAGGACAAAGTTAGCTGTTATAACAGAGGGCTCTGTAAGCTGAGTTTGAGGAGTCTGGATGTTTTTCTTCTATGGGAAGCTATTCAAGAATATTAAGCAGGTCATTCTACATTTTAGAAGATTACTCTGCATTATGAAAATTACAGTAGGGAGGACCAAGGCTAGAAAAATGGGGAAAACAATTGGAAAGGCCGTGACGGTGTTTAGGGAGAAAGGTGCTTATGGCCTGGACTGTGGTAGTGGCAATTTACATGGAGAAAAGTGGAAAAATTTGTTAAATATTTAGGAGCTTGTGTTCTGCCAACTGAATGTTGGCAGAAAAGAAGTGGGGAGAAGGAATGACTCCTCAGTTCCTCACTTGAGCAACTAGGTAGATGGTAGCTTTACTCTGAGATAGTAAATTTTCTGAAGAAGGAATAGATTTGGGGAATGGTCTTGGGTTCAGTTGTGCATAGACTGAGCTTAAAATACTTATAAAGGTGATCAAGTAGAGATATTCAATATTTCGGTAAATATACCAGATAGAATCTTAGGGGGGCTTCTCTAGACCAGACTCATCAGCTTACTGGTCATAATTGGAGCCATTGGGAGTAAAGTAAATTTCTTAAAAAATAGAGTGATAAGGCAGAATCAAAAGGAACTTCCACATTTAAGGGATAGATAGAGGAAAAGAAGGTTGGAAAGAAGCCCAAGGATAAACAACTAGAGAGACAGGGGGAAGGTAAAGAAGTGACCAAATGATGTGAGAGTTCAAAAGAGTAGATGACTTCCAGCATTGGATGTACCTTCAGGAAGCTTTTCTTGGAATAACCCTTAAGCAGCAGATATAATTTGCAAAAAAGAGATGCAATAGGAAGGTATTCCAAGCAAATAAAAGTAAACAATGCATAGAAGAGCAGTTAGCAGTTTGCCTTATGTGTAGGGTCAAAATAGCTACAGAAAAAACAGACAAGATGGTTTGATGCCGTGTTGTGAAAAACCTTGGATTCTGAGTAAGTTGTTAGTAACTTTATTCTATAGGTGAGAAAAACCATCGTGTTTGGTACTAAGAAAAAGACAAGAATATAAAACATACTCTGAATTCTGGAATACCTTGCCATTTTATTGTGGAGACAAGATCTAGACACCTTAAAAGAATAAAAATTCAAGATAATATCTGATTAGTGAGAACTAAATACCATAGAAATTTTAATAGTGGCAGAGTCCATTTGAATTGGAGTAGTAGTGTCCAGATTTGTATTGTCCTTATTAAACAGTAATGCTAGCTAGTCATTATGTTAAAGAAAACCAACTGATCTAGATTGATTGCTCTTTATAAAAGGTAGTCTCAATAAATATAACTTTTAAATTCATTTGTTCAGAAAGAATTATACTGTTACTTGTTTTCACTTGATGATCTCGATGTAAACTCAAAGAGATTTCTGTCTGAAAGGCAGCAGTAGTTCCAGAGATTCTAAAGGCATACATACAAACCCAGACATTGACATATATACTTTATCTAATGTTCATTTAACAAATATATGTGTCAGTAATGTTTAGTAGCTAAGGGCATGGGCTACACACTGAAGCACATCTGAACTCAACTGTCATCCTGCCATTCTCAAAGGAAGGGGAAAAGTTCAAATCTCCCTTAAAATAGTTAATGTTTAACTCTCACATTATGACTCTTTGAAGAAATTTTCTTCAAATGTTTTGTGTCCAATTAATGTGCCTGTCAAATTTAATTGATGTTTCCTAAATCTGTAGGGACAAGAGATGAGGAGTGGTTTCAGGTGTTTAGCTAAGTAACAAAATGAATCACCCACATTTAGAAGGGTCTTCCCTGGTGGCTCAGATGGTAAAGAATCTGCATGCAATGCAGGAGACTCAATTGGCCATAAACTTTTGCTAAATAATATGTATAGTCACTAGATGTCACTATTGTTCAACATTGCTCCAAAAGAATAAACCCAAAGTACATTATACACTACAGGAACACACACCAAGAGAAAGACAAGAAGTTGTTTCTCTTAAGTGACAGAAGACTAATGTGTGTGTGTGTGTGTGTACACACACATGATGTTTATATAAGACGTGAATTTCCCAAGCAGCATGTATTGATATTCTCTCACGATGTTTGTTTTGCAGTAGGTCCATAAGGGAATAGAAAGTAAAAGAAAAGTGAAAGTGAAGTCGCTCAGTTATGTCTGACTCTTTGCGACCCAGTGGACTGTAGCCTACCAGGCTCCTTCATCCATGGGATTCTCCAGGCAAGAATACTGGAGTGGGTTCCATCTCCTTCTCCAGGGGATCTTCCCAGCCCAGGGATCGAACCCAGGTCTCCTGCATTGCAGGCAGATGCTTTACTCTCTGAGTCATCAGGGAAACCCAAGGGAATAGAAGCATAGACTTAAAACTGATAAAGGCATTAGATTATCTAACATCCTTCCACCCTACCCCAAATACAAATACCCTACCCCAAATACAAATAGGTTTGGAATTGAAGTACAGGAAGGTGAAGAGTCAGGAAATTTTCTCTATATTAACAGATTAAAGTAAATAAAATAGATTTACTCCATAGCAGAGTAAAATCAGAGAACTTAGATTGCCCAGCTCTTTTTATAGTACAAGCTTTTATAGTATAAGCTGTGTCCATTATTTATATGTACAATCAAAGAGACATTGTAATAAAAACAGGTGAAAACAGAACTTCTAAATCAATCAAAATTTTCCACAACTTTAAAAGCAAAGCTTAGTAATATGCTACTGTATACTTCTAATAAAAATTATCAATTGAATAACCATACTTTTGCTATGAGCTGTAAAAACATCTCATTTTATCCCCCAGTAGCAAGATATATAGTATGTATGTATTTATACTGTACCTCATTCCAAAAGGGATTTTAAACCTTCAATAAATAGAGCATAATTTTTTTTGAATACTGAGGTGATTAGAAATATAACATACTGGAATAAAATTACAACGAAGTCATCTTTTAGTTTACAAAAAGCATGATGTCCAGTAAACTTAAATTTGGATGGTTTAGTTGCTCAGTCGTGTCCGACTCTGTGACCCCATGGACCATAGCCAACCAGGCTGCTCTGCCCATGGGATTTCCCAGGCAAGAATACTGAAGTGGGTTGCCGTTTACTTCTCCAGGGGATATGCCCAACCCAGGGATTGAACCTGTGTCTCCTGCATTGTAGGCAGATTCTTTATCCTAAATTTGGATGATTGTTCCCAAATTTGATACTGCTTTCTCTAGCTGTGAGCACAAAGTAAGAAAAGTATATAGTACTGTACCCATTAAAAGATGGCAGAAGATTGTAGGTCATACAAGTAGCATATTTCTGATTTCAAATCCCTAATTCCTTGCGTTATGCCAACTATCCAGATACACAGTGAGAGCACTCCTATTCTAGATATTCAATGAGAGTACTCCTGTCATCAAACCAAGCTTGGATCTGTTCACATGATATGTAGTAAAGCCAATCTACTGACACAGCGTTGTGGTGAAAGAAAGTGCAGTTTATTGCAAGGCACCAAGCAAGGAGGACAGGCATCTAATGCTCAAGAAACCCAAATCCTTTGATGGCTTTCAGGGAAGGGTGAGGTAATGGTCAATGGTACATAGTCAGCTTATGTACATCCTTCTGATTGGTTGGTGATGAGGTAACAGGGTGGTTTTTTGGGAGTCAGCATCATCAATCTTGTTCTAGTCAGTCTGGGTCTGTGAACTTGTGGGCAGCATGCCATTAAGTTCTTTACCTGGTAGTGGGTTTGATGCTGGTGGTTTAGTTGCTAAGTCATGTCCGAATCTTTGCAACCTCATGGACAGTAGCCCGCC